CCCCAAAACCCCAAAACCCCAAAACCCCAAAACCCCAAGCGCTAAATATATTGTCAAAGTATAGAAATTAAAATAAATAGAAATTAACTCGATTTTACTTTGTGCAGATATTAACTTTTCCGTATTAGGTTCTTTAATTTACTAATCTCATTTTCCTAACTCTTCCTAATTAAGGTTTATCTATTGCTTTTTCTTCAGGACTAATGAAGCCATTACTCCTAATAGATTTAAACCTATTAGGAAAGTCAATGGTACTAATGGATTGGATACTTCAGCTACTATTGGAGCAAACATTGTAGCCATTCTGCAGAATATATTGCAAATACCATAGCTAGTGACTAAGAAATGAGTAGGGAATAACTCTAAATGAATCAAAGTGACAAAAGCAAACGCCAACTCAGCTCCTGATTTTGCAACTAGCAATACAAGAGAATATAGCACAATTTAATTTGTCTGTTTATCAAAGAAACATATCATTACTGCTGAGCTTAGGCCGAGAGCGAAACTGAAAGCTTATCCTAATTTACTAGAAAATTTTTTCTATAATGGTCCTTCAATCAGTAATATAAAGCATGAGAGTCCAGACACAATTGAGTTGATGAAGATGTCACCTGGCATATACTTTATAAAGAAATTAAGTAGGTAAAATGTGAATGAAGCGCAGGACCAATTCAGCATCATAAAGAAGAGATTGTAGACAATGCTAAAGTCTGATTTCAAGGTAGTCATAATACCCTTTTGATTATCTGCATTTTAATTATGTTTTCTGCTTTCTAGTCTCTCAGTCTTTTATGATTTATATCTAGTTATCAAATTGTTTAATTTTACTTGTTACTAGTCATCTACATTGTTTTTAATGTACAATCTCTTTATCACTGTGCTGAAGTCATCAAATCTACCCTAATCTAAGAGAAAAACTGGCGACTCTGGGAAGTAAAAGAATGCAAAAGAAATAATTGCTATGACATTAATTGCTAGTCCAATGTAAAGAAACAGCATTGTATTTTTTGTCACAAATAATAAAAATAAAGGACATAGAGTAAATAGGAACCCATCATAGCAAAATAATATGCCACTTAGCAGCGATTCATGGCCATGAGACCATTCCATTAAATGCGTGTAGGCTATCATAGACTTTAAGGGTTGACTTGCTCCAATTATTATATTCATCAGATAGTAAAGCTATAGATTAGGTACAAATACTAGACAAGCCATTGCTGCTACTTGAACAAAGCAAACTCCGATAGTGAATACTTTTCTGCCATATTTGTCTGAGAGAGGTGGGAAGATGGCACATGATACTAGATAACCGGCAAAGAACAATGAGCCGAATAGCCCGATCTCAAAACTAGATGAGCAATGCATATCGAGAGTAGTTATCCAGTTATTCAAGGAAAATTTAGAGTTCCAATCTATCTCCCAACTAGTGGGTGGGTTTAGTATATTAGTACTGCAGAATTACTCTCTTTGGCATACTCTTTAAACTGTCAAACCTGCATTATCAGGGTCTGGGTAAGTGCACATGTAAGTTGGGCTCATAAGGAAAAAGCAGTAGTTATAAATGATAAAGCTAGAGCTTGTAAACATAAGGAAGTGCATGAATATGATAAAATTTTGCATTTTTCCAAAGGGAATAGCAGATAGAATGTCTTCAATCTGAACCATCATGTTTTGAGGTGTAAATCTAAAAAATTCTGAGTCTGCTGAGACGTTTTAAGGAGTGTTTAGTGGCGACAGCGAGATGCTAGATGCTGATCTACCTAATATTTGAGATGATTTTCTTATGTGCACTCCTCCCATAAAGCTTCTTTACGAAAAGAGTACAGCGTGAAACTAAGACATAAGGTATTAACTTGCTAATAGTAATTTTAAAATATAAGACTAGAAACTATTTTGATGTTTTAAGTAAATATTAGCTATAAACTGAGTGATCACTAATAAATTATAAAATCTTATTAACTTCGCATACCTTCTTATTAATTATTTAGATTATAAATTTTATTTATTAGTCAGATAAATACTCCTACTCTA